CTCGGGATTCGGACGCCGTCACGACGAAGAGGAAGGCCGACGAAGCGTTCACGGGGGCTCGATGGGAAGCGAAGCAGGCGGCTGAAGTGGATGTTCGGCGGGAGAAGGATCTCTTGGAAAGGTTTCTCTAGTGTGCATTAGGTTAAACTAAAATGTGTGGAATAAAAGGTACCAAAATAACATCACATCGTACCTTTTATTCTGCACATTTCAGTTTCACCTAGTGCACATTTCAAGTTCACCTAATGCAAAATTCAGCTTCACATAATGCCACTATATCGTACCCATTGTGCTGCACATTTCAATTTCACCTAATGCACATTACAGTTTCATCTAATGTACATTGAATTTCGTTGTCACTTCTCTCCTAAGATCATGTTCTTATTTGAACCAAAACCTATATATATACTATTATTCTACATGTATGTATGTATGTATGCATGCATGTATGTATGTATGTATGTATGTATGTACGTACGTACGTACGTACGTACGTATGTAAATGGGTGAGATCACATACAAACTAGTTCTTCAATGCTAACCTACAAACCATGCATCTTTACATTATTTGTATTGCATATTAAAGTTCAAAGTCTTGCATATTATTGAGGTTGTAGGTTAGTAAATTAAGTATGACTTGTATTTGATCTCTAATCTGTGCGTGTGTGTAATGAGAGTATGGTGGAGAATCAAGTAGGAATTCATTACGAGCCAAAAAAGTGAAAATTTTTATGTTAATTAATGAAGTATTTAATAATTTTGTAATCAATAACAATCAAAGGTTAGATTTTTCTATTTATTTGTCACAACTTATGATTAAAACATCAAAAAATAGAATAAAAATAATAAGTATAAAATAAAACAATACATGACATAGAAACATACAAATACAAAATTAATCTTGCAATGGCAAAAACAAAATTCAAAAAAAATATATGTTATGATGTATAAATATAAAAATGCAGATTACTACATTACATTTAAGCATGTTGAATCCAGCCAGAAACATCGTATAAAACAACAATTATAATTAGATGTATTATCAATGTTCTAAAAGGCGCTAGGCGCTAGTCGGGCGCCAATCCAGCACCTAGCCTAGACGGCTAGGCGGGCGCCTAGGCGGGGACTAGTCGGAGACAAAGAAATTGCATTTTTATCTATATTTTTGCATAAATCTGATAAGTAATATTATATTTTTGTGTGTACAATATATATATATATATATATATATATATATATATATATATATATATATATATATATATATATATATCATTGTTCTAAAAATTGGCCTAGGCGGACCGATTAATCGGCCTAGGCGGCCTAGGCGGCCCTAACCGTAGAGGCCGAATTGGCCTAGTCGGTCAAAAAATCGGCCTAGTCGGGCAAAAAATCGGCCTAGTCGGCCGCCTAGGCGCTAGGCGCCCCTCAACCGCACGACTAGCGCCTAGCGAGTTTTAGAACAATGATATAGATATTAACAAACATGAATGATAGAATTATCAAATTTAATCATATGTAGTATATGATAACTAATCACTAATTAACTTCATTATGTTATAAATATAAATAATGATGAAATTTATATACATATATATATATATATATAGAAACATATATAGTTTTATCTTTATTTACAATTCAATTTCTTTATATCCATGACTAAAGCTAAAGTACGTATATCACTTAGAAAACTAAAATTAAAAAGTAAAGTAATGTTTGGTGAATCTAGACGGCTTAGGCGGCCGATTAGGCGCTCTAAGCGCGCAACTAGGCGGCAAAGGCAGCCGACTAATTCACCTAGACGGTAAATCAATTAGTCGGAGCGCCTAGACGAAAATCGAGGCGCTCGACCACCGCATAGCGCTTAGGCGGGGACTAGTCGGACGCCTAGAACGATTTTTAGAATAGAGTGTATTATTAATAATCATGAACAGAAGAATCTGATTCTTACTCGATCAACACAAGTGTAAAAATGATGGTACTAAATGCAATTTTAGAATTGGTATACACAACAATAGCAATATGAAATAAGTTTATGACTAATTTGCATGGTAATAAATAACAATCTTTTTAACAACATATTTATAAAAATTATAACCAATCATTTAGCCGTTTATGTGAAAAAGGAACATTTTGGTTTGCAACTATCCATATGTGTGGGTTATATACTAGTACTACGTTTTTTGAATAAAAATTGGTAAGTCACACACAGTACTTACCTTGGCCCGCTAATTTTGGCAATTTGTCTTTTTGGGTTAAAAAGGTTCTTAACCACATATACATAATCATAATACAAATTATTTTCAGAAACAGATTAATTTTATTCGTTATTTTGCAACCCACAAGTTAATTGATTAGTTTTAGTTATATGAGAATATATTTGCAACTATATTGTTTGCTACATCTTTCGTTATATAATAAAGTCCTCATAGAACATATCCAGAAAATACTTGATATAATTCTTTGTGATCTCATTATTATTTAAGTAGCACTAAGAGCCCTTTGTAGCAAGCTCGGCAAAATCTATGGAAACGGGTGAAATTCTTGCCGAAATGACTAAATTGGCTTGATCTTCTGAATTATGAAAAACACATATTTCTAAAGGAAATTGTCTATATTCATCATATCAATTAATTTCAAGATCGTTACATCAATCAAAGAAAACTCATACCTAACACCAACCAACATCAACAAACTACGACCGTAAACCCTACAATAAACAAATCCTAAAATTAAAAGCATCCTTACCGTTTTATCATATATTTCTCAAGATACCTGTTACAATATATGCCGCCTCATTCATGTTCGTGTCTCCATCGCCATCTTCTTCGATCACCGGTGTCTTAAGACATTGTCTGGGGTTCAAATAAGCTAATAGGGAGCACCGGTTGCTTATTCTGAATTCTCCAACAAGGTCAAATTCCGCTTGATCTTCTCTTCTATGACTCATTCTCTTCTAGTCTCCTGCATTGAAAAGTTGATGGCGACAAGGACATTGCATCTCGTTGGCGTTATAGTGAAGGTCACTGGGCTAGGGCTCTGTTATTCTTCTCATGATTGGACAGGGAGGTTGATCAACTTATGTTGGGGCTTGAATCTTTGAAAGTGAAGAGGTTTGATAGTGACTAGATACTACTATCAAAAGTGAAGAAGGTTGGAGTCACATCATATATGGATGTCAATGTGCACGATAGTCATTGCATGGGGTGAAAGAGTCTCTAGGCAAAGGTGTTGATATCAATACTGAGCGACATAGGGTGACAAAGTTGCTGTAGGGAGAGGGCGACAAACCACTAGACGACGCTAGAAAAAAGAGTCGTCGACCGAAGAAGGCAGGGTGACAGGGTTACTGGACGATGTAGGGTGACAAGGTACTGGATGATGATGTCATTACGGTGGTGATGACAATCATTTGGGTTGCTAGAAGGAAATGATCAATTATTAATTATAAAAATGGAATGTCACAATAATAAACTAATATTACATAAGTGCATAAGGTAAGTCACATTTTAAGAAAAATTAAAAACAAGACTTTCTTATCTGTTGTATACATTTTAGTAATATTCATTATTTTATACTCCGTACTACATAAATACTCGTACTCATCCACACTCCCATAAAAACTTCTCAAATTTAACTGACACATACAATAAAATTGTGTGATTGCAAATAGATAAATGAGTGAAATATAAAAGACCTTTCAAAATCTTTATTTAAAATGAAAATGGACAAAGTCAATGAGACTTAGAGCCCTTTTGGTAATACATAAATCGACTGATTTAGGTGATTCAGCTGAAATTTATGAAGTTCTGGCTGAAGTGGCTGCATTGGCTGATTCTACTGGTTTAAGAAAAACTTACTTTTAAAATACATTTATTAAAAAAAAAAGAAAAAATTATATGTAAAATAGCTAAAATGATCATCTACAGATAGAAGAGTAATTTTAACCTTATTTTTTCTTATTTAACATGAAACTAAAGTTATTGAAAAAGTTGACCGATAACGTGATTAGCCAAACAATGTTACCAACAACCATGCTAGGGGTACATAAGTTGTATAGAATTTGTACACAAAATGTCAGTCACAGACAATTGATACGGAATTGTCTGTGGGCACATACAAGAGTTGTCTGTGTGCACAGACAAGAGTTGTATGCGTGCACAGACAACTTTTGTCTGTGTCCACAAACATTTTTTTGTAAAAAGTACACTGACAGCCGTCTGACACTGACACCAGCTTGCAAATCAATCAATGTATGTGCACTGCCTGTGTGCGCAGACAATATTTTCATGTTACACATACATTTATTTGTCTGTGCGAACAGATAATATTTACCTCACATACAATAGTAGGGATGACAATTGTGACTGAACCGATGGATGCTCGCACCAAACCGCCCCAGTCAAAACGGGGAAAACCGCATTGACCGGGTAATGGGTACGGGGCGGGGAATACCCGTTTTATTTTTACGGGTAATAGGGTGGTTACGTTTTATACATGCCCGCCCATTACCCGTCCCGTTTATTTTTGGCTATATTTTTATTATATTTTTATCTATTATTTGTCCCACAATTACTAAAAGATAAGATTTTTCTATTTACATTTTGTGTATATGAATAATAGATGTACTAACTATAGTGTATGAATGAAAGTTCATAACAAATTTTAATAGTCTTGTTTGATTATTATCAATTTTTTGTGTGATTAATATTAATTATCTATATATATCAAAATGAATGATGTAGTTGTATGTATGATCAATTTACATTAAAAAAACAAAAAATGATCAATTTACATTTAATTTGAAAAAAATTAAAAAATAATAAAAATAGATGAAATAAGATGAATAAGTTGATTTTGTGCAAATAATGAAAAAACAATTGATATAAAAAGGTAGAGAAAAAGATGAGGAAGAAGGGAAGATGAAGATGATCTCTCATTTTTTTTGTGAGATATTGGAATGGGTTGGGTAAAGAAGAAAGAGAGAAGGGGAGGGGAAAAAAGAATGGAGAGAGAGGAAAAGTTGGGCTTTTATATGGTGTATTACATGTTACATTTTACATGTTACCAAATGCCCTTTTGGTTTACTTTCACCAGATTCGGATTTAGTACTTCCGGCAAAAAGCATTGGCAGAAGAGCGCGAAAACGCTGTCAGCTTTCAACCGAGCTAAAATAAGCCAGAAGCACATTTCATCTGGTCTTGAGAATGCCGGAGCTTCCCGAGGTCGAGGCGGCTCGAAGAGCGGTGGAGGACAACTGCAAGGGATTGAAGATTGTGAAATCGAAGATCGCCGATGACCCTAAGGTCATTGACGGTGTGTCTCCGGAGGACTTCGAGGCTTCACTTACTGGAAAATCCATCGTCGCCGCTCATCGCAAGGGGAAAAACATGTGGATTCAGCTCGATTCTCCCCCATTTCCAACTTTTCAGTTCGGTACGATTGCCCAATTGAGCGTCATTTTTACAAAGAAAGTAAAATTTAAGTAACTACCCTTGGAATAAATTAATCGTATGGAGTACGAATATCTTTGTGAAAATCAATTCATTGTCTTTTATTGTTATGAGAGATGACGAAACAAATCCAGTGGTTTATACATTTAGCATGCCACAGCTCTCTTATAGGGTTTACTGTTGAAGAAAATGGACAGTTTTTTTCAATTGTGTGTTGACATATTTTGGGAAATGATACATAATTTAGTCCTCTAATACTGCACCCTTGTGGCTGAACGTCTAAACACTCGGGGCTTTCTAATGTTTCTATAATTACTGTTGATCAGGAATGGCGGGTGCAGTATATATCAAGGGAGTAGCTGTCACAAAATACAAACGGTATGTCCTACTTGAGTCTTTAGTGTATGTTCTGGGATACTCTGTAACTGTGAATGATTTGATAAATCTTTATAAAGTTAATTTCATATTCCAGAGAGTTGGGTAGTGAATACTCAAGTCTTCAGCACATACAGAGTCTATTTTGTACTCTGAGCAGGATTTTTTTGTTTATCAAACTCGTTTTTCTGGTCTAATGTATGATACCATTTCGTGTATCAACTGACCCCAATAATCTGGGTCAAGGGTTTCTTGTTCTTCCTGAGAGTCAGTTTCATATTCCAGATAGTTGACTATTGTTTGTTAAACTATTTTTTCTGGAGTCTGGACTACATGTCTGATATCATTTTTATTGCCTGACCTCAATAATCTGGGGTTAAGCTGTTATGGTTTTGTTGTTGTTTCTGTTAGCTGGACCTTTTGGTTGTGCAATATGCAGTCTTCTACTGACCAGTAGAACCTTTCAGTGCACACAACAATTGGTCCTAACACAGAGCAATTTAATGTAGACATTCAAAGTTATCTGTTTTTCGCTTTTACTTTTTGCATATACAAATTGTTTTGGAATTAAGGGGTGAGGGTGACTGTATTCCTTCATGCATACAGGTCTGCTGTCAAAGACGAGGACGAGTGGCCTTCCAAGTATTCAAAGTTTTTTATTGAAGTAAGCAGTAATCTTGGATATTATGCATGAATTAAAGATTGCACTTAGATACTGATACTATACTGCACATTTGAAGTTCCATTTTTATGAAACTCATGGGTGGCTTGTGCACAAATCTGACAAAACACGGTACACGTCCTTGTTATGCACTGACATCAAGAAGAAAACACATATCATCACTGACTGCCTATTTGGGAAGCTCACAATTTTTACTTGGAATTTCTGATTGCTCTAATATATGTGTTTCAGACACACACATAATATTGATCATTCTAAAAAAGAATGTCACCAATCATGAACCGGAAGCATACACACAATTGTTGCATATGGGCATATGGCACTTAGATGCTTGACTGCATACTTATAATATTATTAAAAGTTCCTCTAAAGAAGTATGTCAGTACGCTCAATTTTGATAATAATATGTAATATGTGTAGTTGAATACTTATATAAGAAAATATACACTTTTAATCATCAATGACACGTTACCCATTTCATACAGTTGGAAAATGGCCTGGAGCTTTCCTTCACTGACAAAAGGAGATTTGCTCGGGTTCGGTTGCTTGAAAATGTATTGTAATGCTATATATTATATACTGCAACACTTCCCTAATTCTGCTTTCATCTCATGAACTGTGGGCTCTTCTATAAAGTTTCCTGATGGATCAACCTCTGCAGCCAGTCACTGTGCCTCCTATATCAGATCTTGGACCTGATGCGCTATTGGAGCCACTGACAATAGAAGAGTTCCACCAAGCTCTAAGCAAGAAAAAGATTGGAATTAAGGCCCTTTTACTTGACCAGGTTTCAAAAGATCCACTGACTTATCTCCCCCGATATGTTTGTATGGAATCCATCATCAATTTGCTAAAGGTCTATTTGACTGATGCGTGCTACTCTTCTGTCCTAAAAGTTCCTAGTTTGACTTGCACCGTCATTAGTGAATCAAATGTTATGTGATTGACTTCCAAGAAGGCCGTTTTAATTTATTAAAAGTTATTTTAAAAAATTAATGGTGTTAGTTGAGGGTATTGAATGAGGGTAGTAAACTAAAGTAAGAATTTCACAGAAAGATGACTTTGTTCAAGGAAAGACAAAAAGGAAAACTAGAATTTTATTTACGTACAGAGTACAACATATGACCATGGAAATAATATAAGAGAAATCAAGTATAAGATTGGGGAGAGTCAAGAGTGATATAGCCATTCAGTTTGCCACTCATAAATGTATTACCATACCATCCTACTAGACTTTTCTCAAATATGGTTGATTTTTTATTTTATTTTAATACCTTGATTAGCTCATCTATTGTATGAAGTGATTTGTTAGGACTTCTTCTTTTCCTTGCTTTAGTTGCAAATGTATTATTATGCATGTATTCCCTATTTTAAAGGGAGCTTCGCTTTGCTAATAAATCACTGAAGTAAGAATTACGAAGAAATCATTTCAAAGGAGAAAGAAATTTCCTAAAATTCGTGTGCCCCTTCCGTTTACCCTTTAATTCATTCCAGTTGCGTGATGGGAAAAAGTTGTCAATTTGGTCAGTATGTGTGTGCTGTAATGGCTGCAGTGCTTGGTGCACCTTTTGGTCTGGCAACTTGTGAAGGTACCCTTGGCTTGTCGATTTTTGTAGTTCCTTATGTATCTCTAAAAGGAGCATCTACCAATCATGAAAAGTGTGTAATATCCAATGATGCCAGCAGCGAAACCAAAATGTTATCGTATGTGGATTCTTCACATCACGGAAATGAATTAAAAGTACAAATGGAAAAGGCAATTAGAAGGCCATTTTCATTCTCCTTGGAAATTTGTGAAAATTTCCTTCATTTTTCTTAATTCTTTCTGAGATGTTTTATTAACAAAGCAAATCTTCCCCTTATAGTGGGGATTATATGCATAGAACTGCTTGAGACAAGGAAATGAAGTAATCCTTGCCTCCTTGGTAATTATTCCTTAAGATAGATATGCTAATTAAGGCATTATAATCAAACTAAAATGCAATCAACCAGATATCAATCTCATCAATCTTCTACTAGTTAGTCTATTATTTTTCCATAATCTTCTAATGTGACGGACTCGCTCAGATGGTTGCCCGGCCAGATCATTCTGCCAGTCCTGCTACATGATTGGCTGGCTGAAAAAGGCCTATGGTATCATCGTAGCTCAGGTAGTAACACGTTTCATTAAAATGTGACTTCACCTGTACGGAATCAACATTTGCCTTAAGTACATCTTTTAGCGTGAAGAAAACAATCCAGTTCTGCCATTCCTAGGAAGAAAAAGTTATCTTGCCAGACTGTGGTTGTACTAGCAAATTTAATCTTTCCCTACTGGTTTCCCTCCAACCCTATAATTTGTATTGAACATCTGGTAATTTTCCTATTACCTCGGAGGCTCGGACTACAGGTGTTACCACCTACAAGCCTACCTTCCTACTTTTGTCCATGTGTTTTTTAACCCTATATCAGCCTGATCAGTTCAGACCACCCTAGCCTGAATGCCCACCATACGTTAATTAACTCCGTTAGTTGGTAACGTCTATTGGAAACAAAGTGACAAGCTTCATCCATACCTGTTTCAATGTAAGATTTTTTTTCACTGTAATGTGGGACCATTTTGGCCTTAATAATTCCATGGGCGCAGAGGTTAATGACCATGTAAATCTCCAGTGACCCAGATATTAGAACTAGTGACCTCAGAGAACTTATGTTCCTGGGTTTAAGCTAGTTGAACAACCCTGACAGGTTTTAAACTTGATGTTCTCAGTTCAGTTGACAAGCATCCGTTTGGTATCCAGAACATAATCTGGGATGTTCAGTCACCAGAGCGTGAGATATGTCTATTAACAGGCATAAGAGTAAAAGCAGATCCAAGCAATCAGCGCCTCAGAGGACAACTTGGATGTTAAAACTTCCTGATCCCTTGTTCTCAACCTGTGGCCTTGGCGGCACCTAGGTAGACTTTAAGCATGAATTTGAAAAGCAAAATGCTGAGGAGTAGTCTGATCTTCCAGTCGGCTTGGATGAAGAGGTGAGCAGCCAGTGCATGTTCGGCATCAACTTCCGGCAAAGGGTCACATGAATACATGATGGAGCAGGAACTCAATGGCGAGTGGAGGCAGGGCCACCAGCAAGCCGGAGTCCTTGGAGTCATAGTGGAACCCCACCATGTTTTTTCCTTGGTGGGGCGTGAGAGCCGCGTGGCTATGTTTTCCCACAATGGTCATACTCGTGCCCGAATGTGAATGGAGCGCAACTGAGCATCTTTTTCATCTTACAGTGCAAGAGGCACAGCCTTGCGAAAAGGGTATCTGTCTCGTGCTATTAACTGAACAATTCCATCCTTTCCTGATCCGGAGATGCTGGAAGGCTGAGATGCATGGCTTGAAGGGTTAAGTTGCTCAATACGCAACATCTTCATCATCGTTACTGATATTCAAGAACTGTGCTGCAGTGACGTTGAACTTCCTGATACCCCTATCTTTCTTATCCCTATGCTTCTTTTTATCAGGATTTGATGTTCGTCTATTTATCTTCCCTTCTAACCATAACCTGACCACCAATAAGTGGCATACTGGCATTTGGAGAAGGATTATAGAAATGTTCACCATGATTTGCATGCAAATAAAACAAATTGTTTTGTTGGAAAAGGTACTAGCCATGACAACAGTTCATTTTTTCCCCATGTAGGTCATGATGTAAGCACAATATTGTTTTCCTTGTAGAAATGCTGATATTTCATTTTCAACTGAATGAATCTTTGACATGGCATTGTTTCTGCAGGGTTTTATATCTGGTATTGGCAACTGGATTGCAGATGAGGTGCTATATCAAGTGAGTGGGCCTTTCTTCTCTCTGCTATCAACCTTTTCTGTAATGTTTGAACAAGGTTAAGATCATAATTATGAAAAGCTTACACCTCATACAGGGGAGGCTTATGCATTGATGCTCATGTCTTCAATGTTATGCAGATGGACCATTTTGCTACAAAAGTTTGTTCTCTTAAAGTAGTTTCGCTAAAAAGACTTGCTTTTCATTGGTACATATATGAAGCTTTTAGTTAAAATAAAATAATGAAATGTTTGAGTGTTTGACACAACTTTAACACTAGAACTTTATATGTCCGCTCTTTAGCCCACTACATTCTTTTGTTCATCGTTACTCCACAAGTTTTTTCTCTACAGTTCTACTTGTCTGCTTTTTTTTCTTGTTCTCTATTTGATTAAGATTTGAGACCTTCAGAAGTAGCAACAAACCTTTTCTTCTCACACCAACCCCTCATGTGGTTGCTGCATTTATCTAATTGATGTAAATGAAAATGAAGATGAGAATACCCATATGTTGTCGTGAAATCATACTCTTTATTCACCTACTGGCTACCATGATATGTGCTGAATCTGAATATCAAAGAAAGACAGCCATTTCAGATCAAATCCTTGCAATTACCAGTTGGCTGCTCCAGTGTCCAGAATGAGCCTTATCAGATTATGTGATATTGCAATCAGTTTCTATAATATTCCTACTATAGATTGTTTGAAGCAAAACGTGATCCCTCTCAAGATGCTTCGCTTATTTAAAAGTATCCCTGCTTCAAGATTATTTTCATTTGTCCCTTCCCTTAAGCCTATCTGTTGCATAATTTTATAGCTGGTCACATCCAAAACATTGTCTCATAATGTTTCTGTTCAATTTGATAGGCAAGAGTTCATCCAATGCAGATCGCTTCAAGCATGTCCAAAGCAAGTTGTGTATCACTACTGAAGTGCATAAAAGAGGTTTTGTTCATGCTTATAATGTTTAATCAATTAATTATATCTTTTATTCCCTTTTTATGCGGGATAGACATTTGAGATCATGTTCATAGGTTACAGAGTTTTCAGTTGATGTTGATGCGGATAGCAGCCGCTTCCCTAGTGAATGGTTATTCCATTATCGGTGGGGCAAAAAGCCTGGAAAAGTCAATGGTAAGATAATTTCACAATTGTGATTTGTTTAACAGAAAAAGTTTTTTTCACAGGTTATTGAAAAAGCTGTTGAAGTAGAAGCAGATAGCGATCAGTTTCCTAGTAATTGGATTTACCATTCTCGGGAAAAGAAGGACAAAGCTTTTGTTGATGGTTTGGATCCCAACTCCTGTTCCACTGTTTTATAGGGTCATGGCTATCCATTTCCCCCCTCGCTGAGTACAGCCTACAGATCAATTGAACCAGCTATTACTAAAGAATACTGCTCATATGTTGATGATAACTGTTGTTAATTAATAAGTATTTTTTGTAGTTTTTATATCCATTTAGTTGCTAAAAAGGTGTCATTTTGCCACTGGCTCTTTTATATGTGGATTAATTTACAGTCACCAATTCTTGAAATACCAAGTTACTTTGCAGCAAAGCTTCTGATTGGATTCTAATGTTGTGCAGGAAAGAGAATTGAGTTTATAACTGCGGGTGGCAGGGTATGTCTGTGTACTCATTAGAATATACATTGGCATTCATCTTTGGCTGGTATTTCATTTGCTTACTTTGTTTCCCTTTCTTTTCCTTATCTGGATTTAACTCAGACAACGGCCCATGTACCTGAATTACAAAAGCTAAGTGGGCCCCAATCTGCCAAACCTTCTAAAAAGCAGGAAAAGGTACCAAAGGGTGAATTCACTAATGCTGATGTTGATGAAGAGGAGGCAAAATCAGATGAAAATGACAGAAAATCTAACAGTGTCAAGAGATCTACTAACAGGAAAAGGGGCAGAAAAGGCAATTCAGATGGTGATGACAATGGAAGTGACAATGAAGGTGATGAAATTCTAAAGGAAACTAGAGCTAAGAAGCCAGTAGGAAGAAATAAGCTCAAGGAGGGCAGGCAGGACGAGACAGATGATAACAGGAAGAAAATTACTGCAAAGAGTAAACCTGTTAATGATGATGTTTCTTCCGGTGGGAGTGATGAGGAGAATGTTAGTGACACGCCTAAGAAGCCATCAAAACGAGCCCAACCTAAAATAGCCAAGACATCCATGAAAAAGGCCGCATCCACCCAAAAGAGGAAGCAGTCCAAGAAATCAACTTAGCTGACATGGTCATTAGTAGAATATTTCTCTGTTTAGGTGGTTTATAATGCTTTCTCTAGTACCCACTAAATGATTATGCTGATGGCATGCGACCCCATGCGTTATCTTTGACCAGAAGAGCTTGAATCTAGTAACCATTTTGTATGTGAAGTTATGAACCTTGTAGTGCAACTTATTTGATCTGATGTCCATTTTGTGCACATAATGGCCTGCTGCATCCTGACCTTTCTTTAAGGAAACTGTTGTAAACTATTTTGAGGTTTGACATCTCAATGTGATCATTCTGAAACTATTTAGTTTTTGGACTGAACTCAAAGTATGGAATCTAAAAGGAATATCGAGTTGAAAAGTGTTAGGACTCATAAATTGTTTTCTATGTCAAGACACGAGTGTCGAGTCGTATGAACTTAAAATACCCTTAGTGGATGCATATTGAAGCCTCATGGTAGGGATGGACTGGGACGGGTCGGCCTGGTGTTGTGCAGGCCCGACCTGGTCTGCTGCTTTTCAGTCCCAGTTCGGGGCTCGACCTGGTGGCTATACGGCTCAGGCTCGATTGCACTATTTTTCTAATTTATTGCAAAGTCCCGTCCCGAAACTTGACTCGGCCCGGAACTGTTTAGCCCCACTTCATGCATCTAGCTCCTCTAATTCACAAGTTTTATCTACCTCCCCAGCTCCCCTCCTCCAATCTGCCCCACTCGACAATGGATCCCTAACCCCAAATATTTTGGTGGCCCGTTTGTCAACTCAACTACCCGTCACCCAATACCCACTCCCCTGGAATCCGTGAGTGTAAAACAAGCTTTAGCAGATCCAAGGTGGAAGGCAGCTATGGAGGATGAAATGGCTGCTCTTCAACGAAATAATACGTGGACCCTTGTTCCACAACAAGCCCAGCAACCTATCACTTGCAAATGGTTGTTCCGTATCAAATGAAATGCTGAGGGAAGTGTCGCCAGGCTTCACAAGGCCTTATACGGGCTTAAACAAGCTCCACGTGCATGGTATTTAGAACTCTGTCGGTTTCTTTTATCTGTTGGGTTTCGCAAGTCCCAGGCTGATCAGTCGTTATTTATTTACTCTCATCAAGGTGTTATTATATACTTCTTGGTTTACATGGATGATATTGTCATCACCAGAAATAACAGTGCCGCCGTTGACACATTTGTCAAACAAATTGCAACCCGGTTCTCAGTTAAAGATCTAGGCACGCTTCACCATTTTCTGGGGATTGAGGTCATACCTCATGCTACAGGTATTTTTTTGTCTCAAAGACAGTATATACTCAATATACTACAAACGTGCCATATGGATGGTGCCAAGGTGGCAGCCACACCCATGAGCTCATCTACTCCAATTCATCTCACGGCTGGGACAGTATCCACCGATTCTAATCAATATCGGCGTGCACTTGGATTGTTGCAATATCTTTCTTTTACTCGCCCGGACATTTCATTTGCGGTCAACTGGCTCTCTCAATTCATGCATGCACCAACGGATGTTCACTGGCAGGGGGTTAAACGAGTGCTACGATATCTTAAAGGTACAATTGATCATGGTTTATTCTTACGTCGCTCCTCTCCTCTCACGCTCTTTGCATTCTCTGACTCAGACTGGGGTGGTATTCATGACGGAGGTCGCTCTACTACGGCTTATGTTCTTTATTTGGGATCTAATATTATTTCATGGAAGTCAGCAAAACAAAAACGGTCTCTCGTTCGTTTACTGAAGCGGAATATAGGGCACTTGCCCAGTTGCCCATGCTAGTGCAGAGTTGTTGTGGATTAAAAATCTATTACTTGATCTGGGTATCACTTTATCAACCACTCCTCAGCTCTTTTGTGACAATCAAGGTGCCACCTATGTATCGGTAAACCCGATATTTCATTCACGCATGAAGCACATAGCTTTGGATTTTTTCTTTGTTCGTGATCTTGTTGAGGGCGGTCAACTGCGTGTCCAGCACATTTCCAATAAACTTCAAGTGGCAGACATTCTCACGAAGCCCCTCGGGAAAAATCTATTTGAAAATTTTCGATCCAAGCTGGGAGTTTCCAATGGACACTCCATCTTACGGGGGCGTATTAAAGCATAATTGTATTTAATCATTATTATCCATTCTTGTACATATCAGTTTGTTATCAGCCCATATTATGCGGCTAAGTATGATAGCCGACTCCACTGCATGCGGCTATGTAGGTTAGCTTATAGGCTTTATCTCGATTACCTGATGTATTATAAATACACCATCAAGTGTACATTGTGATATACAATCAATATACATTCATCTTCTACTCTTATAAAACCAGGGCGGATAGCGCGCTTGAATTTCTTAAGCCTGAGCCCGCTTGGAGCACCGACCTGGTCCCGATCCACCCTTACCTCAGGGACATGAGGTGAGAAATAATGTTAAGAAACAGTCATAGTAGAACATCACCAACTAAAACGGGATGGTGTGGAAATACTACTAGAAGTAGACTATAAGTAAACAAAGGAAGAATCCAGGTACAAGTCTATGATACAACTGGTAGCAACGTTTGGTCAAATTGCGACTTCATTGTTGTAATTATCAAGGATTATAATGAAATAAGGATATGTTTAACACAACTAGTCAAAAAGATACTTTTATAAGCTTTTTAATAATTGCTAGCATTTAGTGACTGAAAAAATCTTAAAAGGAAAATGTGATAACTGTTTTGTAAAAATCTGTCTGTTTGATTTAAATCTATTTGATATACAAGCTGTTGGGATTAATTAATGATAAAAACTACAAACTTTTCTCAAATGCCAGTCGTTGCAGTATCTCAAAAAGGATCTTTTACTTTTAGAAAATCACTTAAATAATTCACGTCAAACATACAATTAGAAGTTTTAGAGACTTTTTAAATAATATAAAAGTTAGACGGTAAGAATGCATGTCTCCTAAACATGTACTAAGTTAATGAATATGTAAATGAGCACATAGGTTTCCGGTCGGGTGCCTTTGGCCGCATTTGACTCACCATAAGCCAGCTGGCTTGTGATAGGACATAGGGCGGGTCACACTAGTGAAGGTTTGCCGGAGGGGGAGGCCCTCCGGGGCGATTCCTGCCTTCATGCTTTTGAGAAGGCTCCGGATTATGGCGATCCTTCTCAATTTCTTCGGCCTCGGCGTACCTGTCCCCCCGCTGGAGGGCCTTTGTATAATCGCGGGGAGGATCAGTGATAAGGCTCCTTGAGAAATTACCGTTGCGGAGGACGGTGTGGAAGATGGCCATCAAAGTCCTATCGTCGGCTCCATCGACCTCGATGGAGGCTTGCCTCCAGCGCTCAAGGAAACTCCGAAGGGTCTCCTCCTTCTGCTGCCTTATGTTCAGAAGGTGGGAGAAGGATCGCCATAATCCGGAGCCTTCTCAAAAGCATGAAGGCAGGAATCGCCCCGGAGGGCCTCCCCCTCCGGCTTGTAATTACAATTCAAATTATGATAATTAGTTGTAATGTCTTTGACCTCCGGTCACAAAACAACTTCACATTTTTCTTTGGGTAGATCCAAAATAAATTTCACACTTCTATTTTTGCCATTTTTTAATATAAAGTTACCCTTATATCCTTACTTTATAACCTACTTTACACCCATTTTTCTCTCTCTCTCACTACACTTCATCTACTTTTTGGGGGGCATAGTGAGAAAGTCAAAACAAAAAAATTCATGGCTTGTTTATTAACAGAGATATTTTTCAGTTTTCCAGAAAACTGGAAAACAGAAAACAGGAAACGTGTTTACCAAAGAAATTGCTGGAAAACTGGAGAAAAGAAAAAAAACACCTTTACCAAATCGTTTTCCAAAACAAAAAAATGAGACATGTCTCTCTTTTCGTTAATGATTTGGAGAAGTGACTTTTACTAGTTTTCCAAATTTGGAAAACGCAGATGCTACAGTGCCACTGCAATGAATTTGCATACTTACACCTAGTGGTGGGTCCGATCCCGCTTCGATGTCGATTCCATTCCGGTACCTCCATCCTCGTGCCTTACCCCTTACCCCTACCCTACCCTAACCACCCAACCCCCACCCCCGCGTACCCATTTTCCCTATAATGACCCTACCCCTACCACATGCCCCTACCTTGGCCCCACCCCGATCCACCCTACCCTACCGCCACCCCACCCCGACCCACCCTATCCTACTCCCTACCACCTAGACCCCACCCCTTACCACATGCCCCCTACCTCGGCCCCACCGTCATCCTACCCCCACCCTCGTACCGCCATCCTACCCCCCACCCTACCCTTCCCCTACCTCGGCCCCACCTGGATCCCGGGCCCACCCTACCGCCATCCTATCCCAACTCCCTACCCTACCCCAAACCCTACCCACTACCCCCACCCTTACCGCCATCCTACGCCCACCGCCATCCTACCCCCACCTTACCCCTTCCCTACCTCGGCCCCACCCTACCTCCATCCTATCCCATCTCCCTACCCTACCCCTACCTTACCTTACCCCAACCCTTACCCCTAACCACGACCCTAACCCACCCACTACCCCCACCCAACCCCTACCCCTAGACCTTACCACCCCACCCCGACCATACCCCTTACCCTACCCCGACCCCTACAAGTAGGTCTGGGTGGGTATGAAGGGCTGTGGGGGAGTATGGGTAGAGTGTAAGATCGTGGTAAGGGTAGGGGTGAGAGTCACGGGTGTGGAATTGGAGAACGGGGTGAAAAAAATTGATGAACATGTTTTCAGATTTGAAAATAGAAAACTAAAAAATAGAAACAGAAAATTGGAGATAGAAAAACTGAAAAATAAAAACAGAAAATTGGAGAACGAAAAACAGAAGTAGAAAACGGGAAAATATCTCTGTTAGTTTACATGCCCTCATTTTCTTAAGAACCTTGAAGTCAAACCATGAAGTTCTTTTGAGACCAGAGGGAGTATAATTCAATAAGGGTGAACTACAATTGTCTTTTAACCTGTGATAAAGATGTTGTCGACGTCAATCCCTCTGTCCTTCATGCTACGGCCCTAGCTCTATATTAACATACCGAGCGTCTTTCTTGCCGAGCGTTCCTATTACTTAACGGACAAATTTCCACCACTAATATTAACTACAATAATAAAATATAACATTTTTTTTTTGTGTGAGGAAATATAGTGATAAAACTTATTCCTCTTCTAGAAAGACATGCTAATAAATACATTCTAATACTTACTGTATATTTTGTCAAAAAAAATACGGTATATTTAGATTCTTTATATGTCGATGTTTGTCCATTGCTGCTCCTTCCATGAAAGTTGTTTCACTTTCACGAAGTTTAATAGAATTAGATCTTATTTGAAACTTTCTGAATTTTTTATATACT